ACTCATGTTAGTTCCTGATAATTCATGAGATATTAATGCATGAAGTAATGCATAATTTGCACATTAATGACGCATGAATTCATGGTAAATCATGTACCCTTGCCGTAAAGTGTTACCAAATAACTTCTCATTTAAGTGAACTTAAAACAATCTTCACATAAACCCTAGGTTGTTTTGGCTGTTATTTCTTTAAGAGCTGCCCCTGCTGAACGTGACGCGGATCTGACACACATCATATGTTCTCTCAAATCTTTTTACCTTTTCTGACCCACTTCAGGTCTTAAAGTCTCTATTAATGAGCTGACAAGTTAAATTGGGTGTGTAAAGCCGGGCTCACACTACAGGAGTTTTGGCAGGATATTGCTGTTGCAGACAGATTTCCATAGTCTGCGACAAAACCCCTGGATCGTGACCAAATCGGTGCTCGTTGCGGTCGCCGAAGCTCGATAAGTATGAGCAGGTCAGCAACGTGATCCGAACCTGTCTCGAGCTATCACAGACGCTACGATATTTTCAAACCTGTTTGATATTATCGCCACGTGATCTCGTAATGTGAGCGACACAATGACAAGGTGGAACTAATCCAGCCAATCACAGTGCAGATGGTATAAACACTCTTATCATGCATCTTTATGAACAGAAACGAAAAGCTACAAATTAATAAAATCAACTAGAAATAAATTTAACAAATGCATAGATTGTGTATACAATACCACGTTTCATTGTACTGTTTAATTACCTCCAACTCTTTCTGCAGTACTGACAATCCTTGTTGTCCACGTCTTCCAAGCCATTGTTTCTGCCATATTCTCTTTTGTCGTGGTTTATTCTTTCTTTTGGATAAAATAACTGCACAGACCAATTGAAGGTGTAATTTCTCGCGAGAATTTATGTGAGAAAACGTATTTTCGCTGATGGTCGGGAACGCCTCTTCACTGAATGTTTTGTAGTGTGTGCACCTCGTTAGCGTTGTGTTGTGTAGTATGCACGCAGCTATGACAAGATGACGACAGATGAGAACAAATCTTGTTGAGTAGTGTGAGCAACACAGTGATTCAGCTAGTCTTTCAATCCTGTAGTGTGAGCCCGGCTTTAGATGAGTGAGACAGTGCTGGGCTGCTCCAGAACAATTTTGAAAACCATTTCAGAGACATGTTCTTAAATGCGAGTCGTATAAAATATATTACATGCATGCACAGTTTTAAGGCAGCTTTAATCGTCTTTTTGGTAACTTCATGACTTAACTGACCACGGCATTGCATGCACGTAGTTTATTTCGCGCTTTGGTATGAAAGGATACAGGCCACAGGCCACGCGCTGCGAGAACAGTACCGTTTCCGTGCTCGCTTGACTCGCGCCTGGCACCGAAGTGAAGAGGAGCGCGCATCTGAAAAGTCTCCCGTTCTCAGTTGTTCTGCGACTGAATAAATGCACTTCTTGTCAAGAGAAAAAGTGACAGAAGCTCCAGTTGTGAGTGCGGTGGCCAACCCTAACCCTGCGTTAAATATTTTTAACGCGTTAAACTGAAAAATGTATCGCCTGCGTTAACTCGCTAATTTTGACCCCACTAATATATATATATATATATTATCTGAAAACACGCTAGGAATATTTGCTTCTGAAGCAAAGTAGATTGATTGATTGATTGATTGATTGATTGTTTGATGTTTTTTAAAGATTTGATGGATTTTAAAAACATTTTTTATGATTTTTTAAGGTAAAATAACACAAAAATACTGATAAAGAAAATTATTTCCATTTTAATATATTTTAAATGCACTTATGTGCAATCACTAAAATGTTATGCAAGCAAAATAGAAGAAATAAAGTGCATAGAAATAATGAAAATAATTATTTTTTAAAATTATTATTTACCAGTATAGTGGACACCACCAGCGATCTGTTGGAGAGTGAATCCGTCACATTGGCTGCCTTTCCCTTCTGGTTTTCCGTCATGTTCAAACCACTTGCAGGATCCCATGTCCCAATCTGCAAAAAACACTTAATGTTTTCATAAATCTATGACATGATACAAAAAGAGGATGAATACTTCCATAACGCAATACAGAGCACTTTCCCTCATCCTATGAGTTATTTTCTAGGGCCATAGAATCTATAAAACAGTTTCAGTGAATGTTGTCTGGGTTCTCATTGGGACACATTATCTACGCAGAGGCTTAAAGGAAGTGATGTGAAGACCATGTTATCATGCACAAGAGAGCAAAACGGAGAGATGGAAAAGAGAGAGGGAGTAAATGAGAATTGCTTCAGCGGACCAGAGAACTGCAATCCCATTCCTCCCTTCTCATTTACTTCAGAGGACCCTCTTGAGAACTGACAACTCAAAACAAGATGACAAAGTGCAGACGTTCACGCACGTTCAGCCATCAGAAAACAAAGTACTTCAGAAAACACACGGCCTGTAGTTTGTAATTGCAAATCACCTGTTTAATTCAGTCTTCATAAGGCTAAAGGGCTACTGAGGGCCTTATTATTAATGGGATAAATTATTCATGAAGGTGCAGACATGTGGAATAGAACCGGGAGGTTACGGTTTGCTTACAGGCTCTCTTTGTATATGTGTGTGTGTGTGGGGAGGATTGTTATTGTCTGTTATTAAGTGGCAGGCTGAGTGTGTGTATTTTCTAGTGTACACACGTTTGTCCTTATGAAGGACAGCGGGTACATAACTAAGGACATTAAACCAGAGGAATTCAGCACCTTCTCTAGCCCCTCTTCCTTCAGGCTGATCACATCCAGATCGAAATCTGTCCTCAGGCCATTGGTCTTGTTGAAATTTATCCGTCCGGTCAAACCATCCCAGTGGGCCTGGAGGTGTAAGAAAAATATTAATTATAACCAACCTGCAACATCCGATGAGTTCTTCCTTGCTGGCCAAACAATGAAAATATGTTATTTATCAGAATGTAAGGTTCACACTTTTATATGTTTTTCAAATCTGATCTTCAGGACAGATGATCATCACTGCCATTTTGCAGGTTATGTATTCAGATCTGTTTGTTAAGACCAGGGTTATTATAGTTAACAAAAAAAAAAAAAACTTTCATTACTTGAAATAAAATATACTTTAACTGAACTAAAATAAAATATAAAAACCCATAAGCTTATTTAATTTCAGCTACCGGTGTAGTCAAGGCAACACTCATTTTCTCATTTTCATTCAGTTTTACTTGATGTACTCAAATAACTAAAACTGAAATAAAATTAAAATAAAATAAATAAATAAATACTAAACACACACACACACACAAAATAAATAAAATAAAATAAAATGCAAACAGGAAATATAAAAACAAAAAATCTAAATATTAATAAAAACTGTAATAGTATCTCAGTGATATTAAAATAACACTGGTTCAAACAGTGATCAATATTTGGTGCATCTATATTGATTTCTATAGATTTGTATTGATTTCTGTAGTTTTTGTTTTTTTAATATTTCTGTCAAATTGTTAAAGGAAAATTATTTAAGAAGATATGTATTTTTATGATACATAAAAACTAGCTATGAAAATAGCATAAAATGTATAATTTTAAATAAATAAATGCATACATACATACATTATTAAAGAGAGATATATATATATATATATATATATATAATTTTGTGTCTTAATGTATGTTTACCTAAGCTTGTGGAAAAGCTAAGATGACCTTTAATTCAACATGTGGCTTTTTTCTTTACCACCTATGTTTTATGGTGGTTGTCAGTGTATTATAAGGTACAAAACAGATTTTAATGCTGCACTAGTTTGGTACATTAACATACACGGCTCTGTGGAATACTTGATTCTGATTGGTCAGTCGCAACATTCCGAGGTCTGTTATCCCTCGATGACAACCGGTAAAAGCTGATAACACAGGCTCATCCGGGTAACTGAAGTTGGCGCTATACGCTCGCTAGGAACTGTTTTTCTTCGTGGAAGCTTTGCGGTTAGTTAGCTAATAAAATATTAAAACTCGATTCAATATATGTGTACAATTATTTATTTATGTCATCCTTGTATCGCGGACTCGCTCTCTCGTTTCATACAAACGCAGCTGCTGCCATTTTGCCACGATTGTTTTGTACACTGTAATGGATTATAAGATATAACTAACAAACTGGTATGATTTTAAAACATTTTCGACTTAAATCAATATCTTTTATCTCCTTAATTATTTATGTGGTGAAATGTTGTGTAATAAGTGGTGTGACTGTACCACAGTCTTCACAGAATCTTTGTGTTCAAATATTTCAACTCGTTTCAATATTTTGTATCTAATTATTTACTTATGTGACATGTAATAAACGGGATAATACCTGATCACCCTGTCGGGGCTGGATGTACACAACCTGCTGGATGTACATTATCCCTTACATAATACATTTATATGCTTTATTACTGTAAATTTAAGTTCAATCCATAAAAACCTAAAATGTTGCTTTATTTATGTATTTATTTATTTATTTAAATAGTAAAGTTCTGGCAACCACAGCAGTATTTTTTTTTTCTCATAGCGTATATTGTAAACTTTGTATCTGTTCTCAGGTCAGTGCCAGGTATCAATCTATTTTAGGGCTTTGGCATTTTCAAAGCCTGTGAAATGTCATCAGAATAAGCAGTCCTCCAATTATCTGTTCACACAAAAACCTCAGCACAGCTCTCCCAGTCTTTCTACAGCTCCGAGCTCTACTTGTAGCCTAGACAGAATAGATCCTAAGGAGGGTGAGGGGGTCTGGGCCAGGGTCATCACAAGCAGAGATGTCAGTCAATTTATGCACTCGCTTACGGAGAGCAGACCACCTTGCTTTTATGTATTTATATCTCCCTCACTTTGCCTTTGGTCTTGGCTTGCTGGTTAAGATATCACGCACAGCAAATAAAGGCGGCTTTTTAGTCAGACTAAATATAGGCAGCAGAATGACAGGAGAGTTCAGGTTAGCCGTCCTAGTTTTCCTTAAAATAGCACGGAGAAGAATCATTTGCAGAGATTAAGATGAATTTGCTGTCTTCTGCAGCAGTGCTCTCACCGTGTGGGGTAACACTTTAGAATAGGGAACACTTATTCACTATTAACTACGAATTTTCCATCAATAAATTCCTAATTTGCTGCTTATTAATAGTTAGTAAGGTAGTTGTTAAGTTCAGGTATTGGGTAGGATTAGGGATGAAGAATAAGGTCATGTAGACATTAATATGTGCTTAATTACTACTAATAAATGGCTAATATTCTAGTAATATGCATGCTAATAAGCAACTAGTTAAGAGACCCTAAAATAAAGTGTCACCAAACAAGCAAACACACACTCACAAACGAACATGCAAGGGCAAACTGCAGCGCTTTCACAATATATTCCAATACACAAGGCATGCCTTGTTTCTATGTAAATTAGGTTTATTATAGATAAACCACTTTATTCATAGAAGTCATTTGCCTGGTGCAATTAACATTATTACCGCCTGCTGAACATTTATTTATTTAAAAGAATGTTTGTTCATGTTTTCTATTGATCATGGCAGCAGTAATGCATTAAACAATGGAGAAAACATTATGACCAGGCATAAATTCAGACACGCTGTGAAAATGAATGCTTTTTCAGCATTTAATAGAGTCGATTCTGGTGACAGTATTGCAGGGATGGATTTCTGATGTACAGTCTCAGTAAAGATGTCAGATTGTGGTAGTCTGCTGTATGGCTGCAACAGCACCCAGAACCTGGACACTTTTTGGTAACACTTTATTTTGCAGTGCCCTTTACATGTTACATGTACTTACTAAAATAACAGTAAATTATGCATAATTACATGCAAGGACACTTCAAGTAAAGTGTCCTTTTTACACGTTACACTGCTATTCAAAAGTCTCACCAGGGCTTCAGTTATTTGATTTTAAATAACTGATTTCTATTTTATATTTTGAAATGTTATTTATTCCTGTGATGGCTTGCACCCAGAACCTGGACACTTTTTGGTAACACTTTATTTTGCAGTGCCCTTTATATGTTACATGTACTTACTAAAATAACAGTAAATTATGCATAATTACATGCAAGGGCACTTCAAGTAAAGTGTCCTTTTTACACGTTACACTGCTATTCAAAAGTCTCACCAGGGCTTCAGTTATTTGATAAAAAAATACAGAAAAATATTATTAAATTATTACATTTTAAATAACTGATTTCTATTTTATATTTTGAAATGTTATTTATTCCTGTGATGGCTTTTTTTTTTTGACGAATTTTCAGCATAATTATTCCAGTCTTCAGTGTCACATGATTCTTCAGAAATCATTAAAATATGCTGATTTGCTGCTCAAGCAACATTTCTTTTTATTATCAATGTTGAAAATGTTTGTGTTGCTTACTTTTTTTTTTTTTT